GAAAGTTGCCTGCCGTTTCCCACGCATTTCTGGAAGTACGCGACCGAAACCTTCCGATCTGACGAGGCTCTACGGCCCGAGTATCACAGAAGATTCCGTCTGGTGCCCGCCAGCGTGTACTTACAACAGTTCGCATCAAATCGGCATCACATGAAGCGCAAGGATGGTACTTGGATCAAGACACCGCCGGATTATCCTCCAATATCGACACCAAGTATGTAGGAAACTTCAGAAAATTTTGTGGACCTGCAAAAGATTTCCTGTACAATTCTCGCAACATCTTGGCCTCTTGGAAATATCACATTCACGTCCGTTATGAACATAGTAGAAAATGGGACCTTGACATATACTCCTTTCTTAACATCGTCTTCCAACATTTAATCTCCATTTGGATTATACCATGAATTTTTGAACTGCACGTGTATTTGTGTAGAACAATCTATTTATGAACATTTTTTATTCATCGGCTTCATTTCGTACGTTCCAGCTTGCAAGGATAATCTCGACTCATTCATCAACATGGAACTAGGAACCGGACTAGGCGTTGTAATGAGTTTGAAACAATTAGTTAACCGATTTTATAGGCCAAATGTCAACACACAGGCGCCGACGCCGCCGCAACCGCAAGCTACAGCAACTTAAGTCGTGAATTGCAACGCGACGTTCGTACGCTTTGATAAAACATCTTGGAAATCAATTGTATGGCCTAAGGGAATTGGTTTAGTGCATGTGTAGCCCATCATCGTGGGCTAAAATACTTGAGCGAAATTTGATAATAATGTTAGTTAATTGCTGCTAATTACGGCAGAATTTCAAATATAAAGTCGTTGTATTGCTATTTGAGCAAAGTTTGCTCGGAAACCGAGCTGGGACCGAGATGATTTTAGCTAAATTAAATTTATTATGGCGTTGTGTGATACTTTTGTCGAAGTTTCGTTATACCGCCGTGAATGGACGTTTTAAATAATTCAGATAAGTTTATCAATTGTTATTTATTACTTTTCTTGCTCCTCTGTTCTGGCACAAACAAAACTTTACGCATAAACCTTCGGGTAACGTGAAACCAATGAGTATATAAAATTATCAATGCAAGTAATAATTATTTATCTATTATTATTAATCAAGATGTTCCGATTCTTAGGTAGAAAGATTTAAAAATCTCATGTTTTATCACAATCAAAACCTATGTATATTGATAACAGAAACATGCACTTTTTGCAATATAATAAGAGATTGACGTTTTATTCTCCAATCGAGTGATTTGGCTTGCCGTGCATGAAGAACGATTCTGCTGAGCTGCTTTTTGAATACTCTCGATAAGTGCTTATGCATTATGGGATCTATCGAAATCCATTTTCTATCTTCTACTAAAGTCTCCTTCGCAGAATTTATCCGGGATGGGATGCTCTCCTCCGGTAAATGTAGCACATTCGATCACATATTTCCGAACTCGAATCGTATTTTATATAAGTACTTTCGTCTCTATGCCATAAAGCGATATTTCTCACGGCTTTACTCTGTCAGTGGTGTTATTATAATTATTGTGTCAAAGACTGATGATGTATTTACAGAGGATTATCCGACTTGATAGAGATCCCTTTGTCTATCGGCGCGTGCTCGAGGCACGGGACGCGATTAAAAGCGCTTATAATTACTGTGCGATCGATGTAGTAAGGTCAAGAACTTAATCTTTGCGACGTAATGTAATTATTACGATTATTGTAATTCTTGTGATACTTTACACTTTCTACTTTGAATACCTACGCTATACTTACCTTACTGTTTATACTAAAAGCCGATTCTTAAGAGATACATGTTCGCTTGTTGAGCAGCTTCCCTAATTGGCGTATTAACTTGAGTGAATATACAACGTCGTCACGCGACCAATTGTTAACATCGAAGAATCTGTTGATTCAACACACGTCGCTTTAGTGACGATAGGAACAAGTTTTACAACGAATGTTTTAAATTCTCTATCTGTTCTATAAATAAGATAAGCACAAAATATGTTCTATTCATTAAGATTTAACATTATTTTTCAATATTCCGTAGATATATTGAATATCTTATTAAGTCATTTGAATTATTACTTTATATTTTAGATTTCATTGCAAATATTTATTCTTGTGATTTTGCGATTAATTCTTTATGAAGTATGAATAAATACTCATTTAAATGTTCGCGATTATGGAGTAGCCTTGATATATCAGAATAACTTTGATATAAGTGCAAAATAGGTGTAAAATGCTCGCCACCTCCGATCAGCATGATGTAACCTTGGATCATAAAGGGTTAAATCGCGTGTTACGTTATACGCATTTTATCAGATGCGACAACCTTGAAAGTTTAGCCTTTGTGTGTACTTTCTTCCCTCGACCCTCATGTATTTCACATTATTTAATAATGGTGACGATGTAGAACGCAAGTTCCATAGAGCTATATCTATTTGCATTTATAATTTAATTTCGCTATTAGTTGTTTCATTCGGTCGAGTGCAACGGGGAAGTTTATCAACAAGCAATTACTATCGAACCATCGACTCGACGAGTCGACGTTACGAATAAATCGTAAAATGATCCACCGGTCGGGTCGATAGTTTTAAGAGTTCGTCCACTCTTTGCCTTCCAAAGTCTCTCACTAGTTCACTTTATCTTTCTCATCGACACATATTTACCTCCAGTTCGCATATATCATGTTATTACGAGCGTACGTACTTGTAAGCGGAGGAGTTTACGGTTTCGAAGTATCTAGTCACCGAAAATTGCTTTAGTATAAATTGTTCGACAGCAGTCTCCACGACAGGTTTCTTTTAATGCGCAACATGTGGAAAATTCGGGACCGATCTTCTTAGCGAGTAATCTCGAGAAACTTTATCAAAAAACAAAAATACCGAAAAAAAGATTCTCTTTATCGTTCAGATAAGATATTGCTAAATATATCAGAGCAGAACTATTACGATTATGATATATATATTATATACATATATATCGATATTTCATATTTATTATACAGATATATTGTAATTATATTGTATCGATTTCGATACACCGATAAGAGTTTAGTCGGAAATGTTAACTTATACAATGTTTTATATATATACATATATATTATATATATATTTGTCGGCGTTCGGTGACATATTCTATTACCATTGTCATTTACTATCTGTAAACGCCTAGACTTAAAGATCATAAGTCTATTGCCACGTTTTCGCATATTTGCAGAGAATCATGGAAACCTCTTTATGACCTTCTCCTTTCGAGTATATGATGGGTTATTACAATAAATGGATGCACTCCGTTCGTCTAAGCTTCGAATTTTACAGAATACTCTCAAGTTTTCTGGTTATTTCCTAAAGTCCTATCCTTATCTTTTTGATTAATGATTAATCTTTTCGCCTTTACAAATAAATATTGAAAACATTGTTAAAGATATTACTATAGTATTAAATAAAAAATTTATGATACATTATTTTGAAACAACGTAATTGAAAGATATGACAAAATAAAATAATATAACATTACTTTAAATATGAAGCGCCACTACGGTCTGAATGTTGAAATGTTGAACTAATATATATATTCACATAAATGAATTAATTTCAGAAATGATAATTTCAGAATAATAATTGCGTGCCGATATGGTTATCAGAATTAATTTCAGAAATAATTGCGTGTCGATATGGTTATCGGACTTTCAACGCAATCTGAAATATTAATAATCCCCCCAAATTTCCCAAATTAATCTTCCGTGCGAGGAATGCAAGAGATCCGGGTTCGACTCCCGGCCGAGGCATTATCCCGAATATTTTTCGCAATAAGTTCATTACAATTTTTTAAGATTAATTTGGGAAATTTGGGGGATTATTAATATTTCAGATTGCGTTGAAAGTCCGACAACCATATCGACACGCATATATTAGTTCAACATCTCAACATTCAGACCGTAGTGCTGCTTCGTATTTAAAGTAATGTTATTTAACATAAACAGTCTTGTTTTCTTATTGTTAAAATAATAGGTAGTTTAAACAATATTTATATAAAACTTAAAATATTAATACAAAATAATTAATCAATAAGATATAAGATGCTTTTCTACTTATGTTAGAGTATTTTTCTCAATCCAAAATATCGAAATTAAATATGTAATAAAATTATTTAATTTTGTAAATTAACCCAGTAATTAATTAAAATACATGTATAAATATAAGATATAAAACATTTATTGACAACAACTATTGATGGATAAGAATAATATAATTATTCCCCCAACAATTTTCTAACAATATAAAGAAATCTAATATATGATTTCAAAAATCTTTTTATTAGAAATAATTGAATTTAGAATTATAAAGATAAAAACTATATATTTTTTTTGAAAAAAATATTTTTTAATTTGAGATTGAAAAAATATTTAAAAAATAATTTAATGTGTTGATTATAAGAATATAATTTTTTTATGCTTTGATCACAAAAAGTATTAAGAATATAATTAAATTTATTTTTGAGTACAGGAACAAGTTATTACGGATTTTATAAATGATTAAAGCAGAAATATATTGATGCAATATATATATAAAATATAGTTTTACATTTTACATTGTTATATTTATATTTTGTCGTACAATAACATAATTTCTTAACGTTTGTATTTCCTCTAAAAAATTGCCTTTTAAAAAAATATTTTATCAACATTATATATAATTTACAATAGTAAAAAATATTGCAATAAATGCAACATGCATTTATACAATCATAATATTATATCCGCGTTTATGACACAATTATATACATATTTATAGAGATTATTTTGTTATGTCTTTAATGTTTCTCAGTAAATCTGCGTACATAAAATTATATTACAAAATTATAGAACGAGGATAATTTTCACAATTATATATTTATTAAAGTAAATTTTTTAAATTATGACTTTATAATGTTTTTTTTTCTTTAAAAAATATAATATTTGATGTTAATCTCTTAAAAAGACAAAGATAAGGCTTTTCAGGAATATTCTAGTCTTTATTCCCTGAATAATTTTTTTCTACGTACTTGTACTAAATCGTTCGTGAAGGCTTAGCTCCATATCGTAATTAAATTATGGGAGTAATCGTTTATATTTACACGCTATATAATTAATATAAAATCATGCTGAAGAAGATACTCGATCTTTTCTCCATTTTTTTACGTTGTGTAGTATGAACAGATAAATCAGATCACATCGATAAAATCGTTTTATATATACTATAACGTGTGAATTAGATTTCTTGAGAAAATTCTTGTAATTAATACATTTTAATTGACCTATTATTTATATTTTTAATTGACCACAATTATTTTTATATTTATCTCAGAAATCTATTCATGATTAAGATATAAGAAAAAAGTAATGTACATATATCTTTTTTATGCAATCAAATATGTAAGAGCATTTATTAACTATTTACGAAAGTTTCATAAGAATACTTTGTGTATTGGAAAATTTATAGCGGTATTATCGATTTTTTTATGATATTACTCTATATACGTTATAAATGTACAAATTAATAGATCTTTTAGGCAGCTTTGTTTAATTGTATCATATTAATCATATTGGCTTTACATATATCCGAAATTCATGAATTCGGAATACAGGACATGATATTTTACTTGCTAAAAGAAACAACTTTTCTTTTATAAAATTGGGTCTAAAGTCTGTGGCACATGATGCTTGTTTTCCTGCTGGATTGCTAGCTGGATTAAAATCTTGCCGTATTGGCTGCGTAGTACCAAAGAAAACAAGCATCATGTGTCGCAGGCTTTACAAATAGTTTTTGCTGGAGAGTAATGAGTTGAAGTAATGAGTAAACGCAAAAATTATTTATCAAATGTAATTTTACTACAGGAAAAAATTGTTCGTTTTAGCATAAAGTATCATGTCCTGTACTCCGAATTTTTGAATTTCGGATCACCCAATATATCATTTTTAAATGACATATGTAGGACTATCGCACGCACTATCAAAGTAAATAGCAATAAATATTTGATGTTGTTTTTACACGATTTGATTGTTAGATCGATCCCATCAGCGTGAGAGTTTATTCGAATGTTAGGACTAGATCGTCTCCTTCTAATCTCATGCCCAAGCTGATTTCAAGGCTCTTGATTTTGCCCGCTTTAGGTGCTTGCACAACCATTTCCATCTTCATAGCAGATAGCACAACTAATGGTGCACCCTTTTCCACAGTGTCGCCCACTTTTACTCTAATGTCGATCACTTCGCCGGGCATCGGCGCTCCCAAATGATTACTGTCACCTTTCGTTGCTTTTGGATGCACATGCAATTCCTGCACAAAAAATAAAAAAATTCTTATCGTACTTTGTTTAAGATATTCATTTAATCTCAATTTAATTGTAATCTTCTTTTAATTATCTTCACATATAAGGTAATTTTATTTTAATCGGTTTAATTATTATTTAACACTTTAATTTCACTTTAATCATACCTTAATTGAATTACGTGATAGTATATAAAATAAATATCGAAAATTTGCGAGTCTCATTTACCTTGACGGCCTCTTTATCTTTAATGAACACAGATCTCAGTTGACCGTTCATTTCGAAAAACACCTCACGTTCGCCATTTTTCGTAAGATCTTCTGCAACTGCGAGGGTTTTGATACCGAGAGTTTTGCCCTTTTCTATTGTGACATCGAATACCTCGCCTACTTTAGGCCCCGTGAGAAAGATTCTAGTTTCCAATTTATCTACCGGACCAAATTGTTCCTTGAAGTTCAAATAATCTTTCGTTACTTTAGGATAGAGTGCGGCCGACATGACGTCCTTTTCGGTAACGTGTGAGTGAGATTCTTTCAATTCTTTCCTCAAGACATCTAAGTCGAGTGATGCCAAACTCGCGCCTGGTCTGCCTTTCACGCGTGGCATGTCTTTGAGAACCTTCGACCTAATTAAATTACAAACGTAAAATAAATGCAATGAAAGAATTACCGTGAAATTAACTTTCATGTATACACGCAAACTCTTACCTGAGAGGTTCAGGAAATCCTCCGTGAGGTTCACCAATGGCACCCTGAAGAAATTCGACTACCGACTTAGGAAACGATAGTTCTTCGGCTTTCTTGAGAACATCATCGGCGGTTAATTTGTTTTGAACCATAAATTGTGCTAAGTCACCGACAACTTTAGAGCTTGGCGTAACTTTGATAATATCACCGAGCAAAAGATTGGCTTGTCGATATGCCTTCTTTACGTCCTCAAAGAATTCGCCCAGACCGAGTGAATAAGCTTGGAATTGCAAATTCGTGTATTGACCACCAGGGATTTCGTTGAGGTAGACATCCGCGTTTCCGGACTTCATTGTTGTTGTGCATTCGAATGGTGCATAAAGCGTTCTCGTTTGTTCCCAATATGCAGAATACTCGGAGACATCAGATAGATCCAATTTTGTGTCAATGTCAGTTCCTATTATATTAATTAAAAATTTTCTTAGCTTCAGCATTAATCAAATTTTTATATAATTTCAATTCTTACAATTATGTGTTAATAAATTTAATCTAACTAAACTAATAAAAACATTACAATGTTATAACAGCAATTAAAATAATTAAAACGTAATTCAAGATGTTGGTTCGAATCAAATCGAATCAAAATGTCAATTTGAATTAAAATGTAAAAAATTAACACATATATTATACATATAGATATATAGAAAGAACGGTTTAGTAGATTTAACTAGATATAAATCTGAAAATAATTATATAAGGGCTCAAACTGATTGCTAAAATATTACAACTTTTTGCAGCCTTGCTCATCATGTTTGAGTTTTCTTCTAATTTATTTTTATAGTCTAACAAAATTATTTTCAGATCTGCATCTAACTAAATTTTAGTAAAATCATTCCTTTCGTGTACAAAAGATAAAAAAAATTATATGAAAAATTAATTTACAATCATGCAAAATTAAAAAGTTATTAAACTATACCCTGAAGAGATGCAACAATCGCGCCCATAGAAGGCTGACTGGTCATGCCAGACATGCTATCAACGGCAACGTCCACAACGTCGGCTCCATTCTTCGCACAAGCCAACATGGAAGCTACTCCAGCTCCAGCAGTATCGTGCGTGTGTATGTGAAGAGGCACATCCGGATGCTTCTGTCTTATTGCGTCGATCAACATTTCGGCTGCTCTCGGTTTGAGCAATCCAGCCATATCTTTGATTGCTTAGA